ATACCCAGTACATATAAACATCAGCATACATGTACTGCAGCTATGCCGTTCACATGCAAGTGTCCCATTTATGTGTTGTGTTTCTGCATGGGATAGCAAAGAAATGTGGGACTTTCTGTATATTATAACTGATAGATATGGGGTCTTCTGTACGAGATATCGAGAAACTGTGAACGACATATAGAATGAACTGTATAGGACACCTGAAACTTCTGTATGGAATATCTGATATCACTGTGCGGGATACGTGTAGAATATTCATAAATAACGCACAGGATACCTCCAGGATTGTTTGTGTACTATAGGGGATACCTGTGCTTTATACTAAAATACTATGCAGGACTGGGTGTTTGTGTAGACTGATATGTTACAAATCCTGCACGTTATACAGACTGGTTTAACCAATCAGCTGGCCCCATGTTGCCTTCAATTTATCGTCTGTATTCAATTGAACCGACGAATGTTGTTCGTCATGATACGTAAAAAAGAATTTTACTGACAGAAAGTGAGATGAGCACCAACACTGAATTCATTTAATATGCAAAAACCACATGCAAGCTCAGATCGTAAGGATAGACGAAGAATCATACGCCCCTACCCCTTTCGGCCCTTCCAGGACGATTGATCGTTTGCTCGAATGCTCACTTACAATGATAATCGGATAAGTCAAAATGTTAACATTTCTTGTTTTATGCATCTCCGTGCTTGCGCATGACCCCTCAAACTCAAATTCAGTCCCTCCATCCGCACATGCCGAGATCTCATGTAAGGACAAGTGAAATTTTTGATACCTAAATTAATAACTCGGAAACCAAGTAAGTTAGGAAGCTGAAATTTCGGAATAATCCTCCGGCCCGCTTACAAATTCAGCTCCTGCCCGTGCCTAATCTCCGGTAGAGGTATACATTAATTTTACTGGGGAACCGCAAACGGTAAAGTTTTAGCGCCAAAATTAAGATGCAACTTATCAAACAGTAATGCAGTGAACACGTTTCCTCTGAACAGAGTTGCAAAGGCATCAGCTAGACAGGGCTGTAAAAGCATCCGCCAGGCAGAACTGCATAACCTTTCGCTGAACTGGCTTGCACAAAACGCATGATCGCATTAGCTACCCTGGTGTGCGCCGCTACTTATTTTTATGCGTTTTTGCCGTGCGACGCTGGAGCGCTGCAACAGGCAGCAAAAATGCATACTGCAACGATCCTGTCAGTGTATGTGTGTGTATTTTTGTGTGTATGTTCGTCTTTCCGGGTATTTCAACTCGCCAACCACGCAAGTTTTGAAGCTGAAATTTTGCCATTGTGTTCTCCGGCCAAGTGACACCCCAGGACCACGGTGAAAACCTTCGCGCACGTCTGGGCCGTGCGTACGACCACGTGAAAATTTTGGCGAGAAAACTGATAACTCAGGAATGAGGAGAGCTAAAAAGTTGGAACTTTAGGGAAATGTGACCTACTTATGTGTAACTAAAAGATTTAAAATTCAGCTGTCTAGGATTGCCCAGGACTCACGTACAGGCACGTGGAAATTTGACGGGAAAATCGCTAACTCGGGAACGAGAAAATCTAGAAAGCTGAAACTTTAGGGGAATTTTCATTACTCACGCAGGACAAAAGACTTCAAGTTCAGCTTTTTAGAACGGCCCGAATTCACGTGCGGACACGTGGAAATTTTTGAGAGAAAATCACTAACTGGAGAATAAAAAAAGCTAGAAAGCTGAAACTTTAGGGGAATGTTTCTTATCCATTTGCGACCAGAATTAGCTGTTTAGAATTGCCCGGAATCCACTTCTGGACACGTAAAAGTTTTAGCGGCAAAATTGCTAACTTGTGAACGATAAAAGCTGAAACTTTAGGAACTGTTCTCTATTCATGTACGACCAAAGATTTCAAATTCGGCCCCTAGAACCGGCCGGAACTCACATGCGAGCGCGTGAAAATTTTGGCGGGGAAATTGCTAGCTCCTCCGCCGTATCCTCCAACACCCTGGTAGCCACCTTCACCACCCAGCGTAAAAGCCACTGCTGTGATTTTTTATGTGAGACTGTGCTCAAAGCATATGGCGTGCCCGAGGTACGATCTGTCTTGCTTCCATGACATTGCGACCCCTTCCTGGACATTGTGCAGTATCGCCAGGTTGAAACGATATTTGTTTCATTGCAGGACGTGCGAGCGAAAGGACCACCGCCGAGTGTTGCTGAAGGATGGGAGGGAGCAGAACTCCGGATGCAGGCGTTATCTGTTCGGTGAGATGGATGATGCTTGGGATCACCTGGGTGTTCCGGATGTGTGTAGCTCACCGCAATGCCTTAGGCCAAGCTTGTTGCGTTGTCCGACTTGCGTTAAGCGCAAATTGCCAGATGGTTGGTGCAGTGTTGGTGGTCGGTTCCCGTTCGCTAATGCAGGTGGTTGGTTGTTTTTGCAAGAAAATATTTTATACAAAGCTCGGTCATTTTTTCGGTAAATGCTCGCTTTGTGAAAAAATGAGAAATGCAAATTTTTTGAAAAAATGCAAATTCCCAGTTCACTAAAAAGTGGAAGTATTGCGCGAACGGTCGTTTGTCAAAAAATCCACGTTCATTTACACATACGATTGCGGTTCAGGTCCGACCTGCGAACGATTTTTTTGAAAATATGCAAATTTCCAGTCCATTAAAAATTGAAAGTATTGCTCGGACGGTCGTTTTTCAAGAAATCTATGTTCATTTGCATATACAATTGCGGTTCAGGTCCGTGTTGCTAACGATTTTTGGGTTGATGAGCTACTTGAGGCTGTGGTTGGGGAGCTAGAGAGTTGGGTTTAAAATTTTTATCTCGCACTTTCATAATGAATGTCCCTGCAAAGTTTCAACTTTCTACGTTGCCTGGTTCGCGAAATCACTTCCCGCCAACATATTTCTTTGGTGGTCCCGTACGCGGGGTCTAGGCGCGAATGAAGATCTTAAAACGGGAGAATGACACACGGGATAGGAACATATATCCAAAGTTTCAGCCTCCCAGCTTTCCTGGTTGCTGAGATGAAAGTGGGTGGCAAAGTGCACTCACTTTCCGAACACACACGCACAGAGACAGCCTCTCGACAATAGCGCTGCTACAGCCAGCAAAAGCGCATATTGTCGAAAGGCTGTCTGAGTGAGAAATCATCATACAAACTTCTGCTTGTAATTTTTATGCGTTTTTGC